ACCGCCGCCATATAGCTGGAATAATCCTGTGTGCGGAGTAAAACTAAACTCACTCACTCACTCTGTTCCTGGTTTGTTGTGTGCTTTCATGTTTAAACATGACGAATGCATTAACATGGAGTACACTCCATCAATCCACCCCCTAACGTTCTATGTATCGCCACATTGTTATTGGTCAGGGGCGGTAGCCTAGTGGTTAAAGCGTTGGCTCGTCACTTGGCTACACGCCGAAGACCCGGGTTCGAATCCCCACATGGGTACAATGTGTGAAGCCCATTTCTGGTGTCCCCCGCCGTGATGTTGCTGGAATATTGCTAAAAGCGGCGAAAAACCGAACTCAGTCAGTCAGTGTTATTGGTCACGTTTCCAGGTCAGCTTCAAGACAATAGTATCGCAACCATCCGATTTCTGACTCGTATTTGTTGATTTTATGAGCGCTTCGATATATTTTCTTTTTCGAAAACATGAATGCATTTGTTTTTAACCACTTTGTTTCTTGGTTTGTTAATGTCACATTCAGCAGTGGTCTGACATGAACATGGTGGTCTGCAGTTAATAAAGTCTGGACCAGAGTATCCAGTGATCGACATTGTCAACAATGATCTTCAGAGAACCATGGTATTCTATCAATCATTATGTCCATCATAACGGGATAGGGTGGTCAGATTCGCTGGCTTGGTTGACACATGTCATCGGTTCCCAATTGCGCAGGTCGATGCTCATGCTGTTGACCACTGGATTGTCTGGTCCAGACTCGATTATTTACAGACCGCCGCCATATAGCTGGAATATTTCTGAGTGCGGCGTAAAATTAAACTCATTCACTCATTCATGTCCATTAAGTCCTCTTTGGACCAGAATATATTGCTAAGGACGTACTATGAGCCAGCATCAGCACAAAGGGCTTTCTACTGTGGCTTTCAAACTAAAACCGGAGACACCATAAATGGTGCTTATACATATTGTGCTTAAATAAGCACGCTTAGTCAGGTTTTATATGTGAAATCCCACTGAAATGAGTCAATAATTTGTTACATTAGATGCCAAGGCAAATTACGTAACATACCTCGTGCCATGGGTGAGTGAGTTATGTTTTACGTCGCTTTTATCAATATTACAGCAACATCACGGCGGGGTACACCAGGGCCTAGATTTTCGAAGCTCTCTTAGCGCTAAGATAGTCGGAAGTGCCATGCATTAACATTAACTTACGACTATCTTAGCGCTAAGAAGCTTCGAAAATCTAGGCCCTGAACTGTATCCACATGGGGAATCGAACCAGGGTCTTCGGCGTGACGAGCGAACTCTTTAACAACAAGGATATCCCACCAGCCCTCTAAATTCAGACCAGTCAACCTGGACTCGTCACGCTGAAGACCCGGGTTCGATTCCCCACATGGGTACAATGTTTGAAGCCCATTTCTGCTTTCCCCCCGCCGTGATGTAGGAATATTGCTAAAAGTGGCGTCAAACTAAACTGACTGTGCCAACTGAGTTGGGGGTGACTCCAACATTGTCTATAGTTCAGAGAGCGGAAGGTCGCGGGTTCGATCCCCGACCGCGTCATACCAAAAGACGTTAAAATATGGTACTTGTTGGTCGCTGCCTGGCGCTCGGCATTAATGGGTACAGCAAGGACTGGTCGGCTCGGAGTCAGTATAATGTGTCTGAGTGAGGTATTCATGCTTCACTGCGGCATGGTATCTCAGTGGGCTAGCACTATAAAACCAGCTTCAGTCTGGGCTAGTACAAGCAGCCGCACATAAACATACACACGCATGCACGTCGTCATATGAGCGAAATATTCTCAAGCACGACGTTAAACCCAATTTCACCTCACCTCACCTCACCTCATCTCTATAGTTCAGCAATACTAAAGCTGCGTGTCGGTGGGACAGTGTTCACATATTTATCACTAATCCCAATCTAGCACAGACCAACAGCAAACTATTCTACAGTCCGTTTGGCACCAAATCGGACCGATGAAGTGCAATCTAACTCAAAAACTAATAAACATATAATATTTTCAATGAAACACTGATCATAATCAAAACATCAGACCAACTCTGTGATTTTTTTGCAGAATTTATGTCCTAATAATAAAAAAAGTTGTTCAACAAACTATCATTAAAATTTTGACACAGTTCACTATTTGTTACGAGGGAGGGGTGCAAAGAGAGGAACAGCCAGGTGTACGAGAAAGGATGGAGACAGCACAGCACAGGTAAATGATTCAATAACTTTGTCGGCACTTGTGCACGTGCTCCGCGTACACCTGGCTGTTCCTCTCTTTGCACCCCTCCCTCGTAACAAATAGTGAACTTTGTCAAAATTTTAATGATAGTTTGTTGAACAACTTTTTTTATTTTTAGGACATAAATTCTGCAAAACAATCACAGAGTTGGTCTGATGTTTTGATTATGATCAGTGTTTCAATGAGTAGCCTACTACATGTTTAGTAGTTTTTGAGTTAGATTGCAATTCATCGGTCCGATCTGGAGACAAACGGGCTATTTTAGTCGTCAGAGGCGACTGCAATGTATCGGGTAGTCAGGTTCGGTTGCTTGGTGATGTGTGTTTCATCATACCCCACTGGCGTGGGTCATTGCTCACAATATCGACCACTGGATTGTCTGGTTCAGACTCGCTTGCTCCCATCGGGTAACTATAGTAGAATATTGCCGATTGCGGTGTTGAACAACAAGCAGTCACATGAAGATGACACAAGATACCTAGTGCTCGTCGCGAGGTTTACGTCTAAAGGGCGATAACTCTGTCTTTCACCTGATAAGAAGGGCAGTAAAATCTCTACGTTTACCTGATGAGGTTCATGCGATAAACGTGGATCAAAGTTTTTAAGTGAGTTTGTGAGTTTAGTTTTACGCCGCACTCAGCAATGTTCCAGCTATATGGCGGCGGCCTGTAAATATTCGAGTCTGGACCATTTTGTTCTGCGAGCTGGGGGGGTCGTCAATTTTGTACACACGTACTAGAGGGGGTCATCAATTTTATACATAAAAATATGCTTAGAAATTATGGGTAGGGGAGGGGGTCATTGATTTTGTACATGACATGCAGGGGGGTCACTTATTTTGTACATAAATCTTAGGGGGGGTCATTCACATTGTACAAGCTTCTCCATAAAAATCATCATCACATCACTCTAATACACAACACGATCTGATAGAAAAATCACTAGTATCCAGATTTGACAAAATGTAATGCATTGAGTAGGAAGGAATTCACAAGACAATATAGGATAGTAGGTGGTTTCCGTTAAAGATGGCAACTTGTACAAATACCCACATGATGAAAAAGATTTTTTATTTCAGTAATGGGTGATGTGATGTGAATAACAAAAAGCAGATAATACTGGGTACACGGTATTCATTACCAAGTACCATATGGACATGAAAAAGACTAATCCCGATTTTGAGCTGCTTTGCAAGTCATCGTTCTCATTTGAAGACAAACAAATTGTAAACGACGCGAAGAAATGTCAGGTAGTAAGAAGAAGGTAACGCCAGTGAGTGAGTTTAGTTTTACGCCGTTCTTAGCAATATTCTAGCAACATCACGGAGTTGGTACCAGGAATGAGCTTCAAACATCGTACCCATGTGGGGGATCGAACCTCCAGGCTACCCCCATGGCCTGTCATTGTTTTCATTGAATCCTGCTGAAATACCCGAACAAAATATATTGAGTTTTTTAACAAATGCCTGTAGTGTATGTCCACACATCTGTTCCTTGTGAGTGATAGCCTAGAGGTTAAAGCGCTCGCTCGTCACGCCGCAGACCAAGGTTCAATTCTAAACTGAGTCTAAAATATTGCATAACATTTACATTTTGGTGATAATAAATTCTGTATGTACACATCCTTTCGTCTGTGACAGACCATGGCAATAAACTGTTCAGGTTATTCTACCTTCTAAATCTACATATTGGATTTATGTAGATAAATAATCGTATTTGTAACATAATCGATGTGCATTGGATCAATCACTGGTTGATTGATTCTGATTTTGAGGTGCGGTGTGGTAGCCTAGTGGTTCAAGCGTTCGCTCGTCACTCCGAAGACCCGGGTTCGATTCCCCACATGAGTACAATATGTGAAGCCCATTTCTGGTGTCCCGCCGATATTCCTGAGATAATGCTCAAAGCGGTTTGAAACTAAAATCACTGAACTCAGATTTAGATATCATTGTCAGGCGGTCCTAATATAGACGGACATTGCGTAGAGTGCAGCTTTTAACAAGAAATGGGCGAATTAAATCGTTACAATTATGAACTATCACAAATTATACGTCTCGCATTGACAGAAATCTCAAACACGACGATCCATAGGCGAATCCAGAGGGGGGTGCAGGGGTGCGCACCCCCCCCCCCCCCTTTTTGTCCTGAAAGTTTATTAAATGACCATTGCAACTCGGGTGAAAATGAAATGTGCACCCTCCCTTTTCTAAATAGTGCGCACCCCCCCTTTCTCAAAAAGCTGTATCCGCCCCTGCGATCCGTAGCGCCAAATGGTGATACGCAACGTGGTGTACTACTGATGGGAATTATGGCTGTATATAAATATCTTACCTGCATCCCGTAGCCCATTATTGGCCTCATCCGCCATAATGTTACGTAAACATTGACCCAAATAGCATAGTAACATCCACATTCTGTCGAGTATTTGGTCCAAATGATAGATCATGTTATTTAAAAAACTCCAAATGACCAATTTTTTTTCCATTTCAAATTTAAATCTCGTTGCGCTTCAGTAGCTCTTTCTAGCATCTGTTCCATATTTCATACGTTATTTGGAAGAATCTATAATTGTGTGATTAGTCATAAATTAAATGTTTCAGGTGAGGTTCGTGGAATCGGCGCTCATTTCTGAACGTGGTTTCTCGACTTTTGAACTCAATGACCCCGAAATTCCTTGACGTCAAAGGAGTTCCCCGGGTGCGGAAACGAGGCTAATACATATTCATGATGTGTTTCTAAAGAAAATGGCGGCCTCCAGAGAAAGATGTCGTCCCGTGTTACGAATTTTGAGATAATGGAACTATGGCTAGCAAAACAAAGAACAAAGGATTACACAAAGATGGCAGTCGCTCAAAAGAAGGCTTATCTTCTAAAAAGGACGGTATGTGTTACTGAGGACATGCTTGTTCCCGCGCAAACGATCAGCTCCTGTTCTAGGTGACCCATTTCTATCTCACCTGTCAAGTGAGCTGAAATTCCAACTAGGTTTGAATAATTGGCGATCGCAGTTCCAAACAGTGGTTGGTTCCCTCTTATACACGAGCCTTGTTAACTACGCTGCTTGCTAATTTGCTTCGCCATTATTTAAATAGCAAGGAAACACGTAGCGAATCCGTGATAAACAACAAATATGAACAGAAGATCTGTTCTTATTGTTGTATACCTGATGAACGGGAGGGTTTTCGCCGAGGTATGTTTTTGACATAATTCCCGGAAAGTGAGTTTTACAAAGTCACATAGTCGTAATGCATCACACCTGAGGTCAGTGACCAGGAACATTAACACACCTCGTGGTTCACCAGGCCTTAGCCATCGTGTCTAGTGATTAAAAAAACCTGTCACATATCACTTTTCGTCACATCAAAGGAAATATATCCAAGAAGACATGTTGACATTTGAGATATGAAGGTAAAGTTAAACTTACAAAAATAGCATGCTTTCCCAAATAGCAAGTGTGTCATGAGAGCGCAAACACTTGACAGTCATAGCCGGTATGCTGTCACTTGTAGAGACTAGGATATATGATTGAAGTTTGTGTAATACAAGACAATGCGAGAAACTGTACCGTTGTCAAACAAATTCACAAACTGGCAATGTTTTAAAGGTATCAGTGTTGAGATATTTGACAAACATGTTATGAAAGGTAGTACAAAACCTGAATAAAGCTGTTGACAGTTGTCACTGGTATCTAATTTTCTCTGTGGACACGTTTTGTCAGCTCTAAATGTAACCAATATCTCTATAAAGGGAGTTATGTGCTTCACCACTAATAATTGCTATCCATCCGGGCCAGTAGAGTTTGGGAAACCGGCAAACTAGCGTTTGTTTGTTTTTGTTGGCAAACATAGTTGTTAAGCCTGTAATTTTTGGTGAGAATATGTTCAGTCCAATAATGACAGTAATCTGAACATTATGTGGTAGATGAAAATTAGTATATATAGGTCCGTCTCCTATTCTCGCGGGTTCCTATTCTCGCGGTAAACACGTTTTCTGCCGAAATCGCCGATGCGCGACACTTAGCGGTTGTTTACACCACCGACTGGTAACTAAGAAGTGGACCAAGTCTGTGAGTGATCAAAATCTTGCAGTGTCACGAATATTGGGGAGTTTATACCAACTTGGACATATCATTACTTTTTACCGCCCTTTCCGGCAGGATTGCTCTTACATACACTCAATAACGTTAATTCCTGGTAATACCGCGAGAATGGGAGAAGCCTCGTTTCGTCAATGGCGGATGGCATTGTTTATCACCGGGCTCACGAGTGGTAATTCACCTGATGGATCTGGCAGCTGATAGATCTAGATGTTAGAGGAGAAGGCCCTTCATTTAAAAACAACATGCATTAATACGATAAGAATTGTACGTGTTATTTTTCAGCCGATATCCGTAAGTACCACGAGAATAGGACACCTTCTTATGTAAGTGGTCGATGTGTTAGCTTCTGAGTTCAAGTGCCAACATGGAAACTGTTTGAAGCCCACATTTGGTGTCCCCAGCCATGATAATGCTGCAATATTGCTTTAAGCTGCAAACAATAGCATACTCACTCACACATCAGCTTATGGAGTTCAGTATTTCCATTTGAAAAACACAGCACAAAATTAGAAATTAAACTTGAAAGTCAGTTGGTGCTTGTCATGACCCTGTGAATAAAAATGGAGGATTTGAGGCAAATAACATTACAAAAATCTGAAGAAGGAATCCTCAAGAAACCCCTGTCTCTTTTATTTGAACTAGACACCATCACAGAAAATAGAACTGTCAAGAAAAACCTGCTGCTGTTTCTATTTCAGAAGAATTGTACTCATTTGGAACTGGTGGCGCAGACATTTATGGTTTCCCCGATAAGGATCCATTCTAACCATGCCCACAAGTTAAAAGTCCCTATCCACGCTAACAGGTTTTATCCAAATATAAAGAGTTGACAACAAGCATAACTTTCCTCCCACATCAGCCATGAGTCAAACAGTTAAATGTAACTCAACGAATTATCAAGTTTCATTCTGTCAAACAAACAAAAATTATTTTGTTAAAAATTAGCATGTTTTTACCCGTGGCGATTTAATATGTGTCTAGTCCAAAAATTGAATTGTTTGTTTCATATTCGTTGCTCCATCTTTGTTTCACTGTTAATATGAACCTGTGATTTATCATTTCATGATTATTTATCCAGGAAAATGGGGGGAAACATCATTTTGTTAAAAATTGTGATTTTTTTAAGGGCTGCATACTCAGCAATATTTATGCACTGTATTTTAAGATTGTATTCAGTCCTTTAGGAAACAGGGTTTTATCTAAGATTCCAAGCTACATGCCTCTGGCAGACAAATTTAAATTTTGTTCAAAAGTGGGATTTCATAAAGTTCTTATTTTCATAGGTATTTTAAATTGCATTGTATCACTGTCTGTTACAGTAATGTAAAAGTAAACCTCTTCTTTGTTTTGGTCCTGTTATCAATCATTATCTATTTGACCAAGCTGTCATTTCAGTTATACAAGTTATACAGTATATACACAAAGTGGGTAGTTATTTCACTTAATTCTCATTTGGAAATTTTTATTGACATTTGCTGCAGACTAGATAAATCCCAGTAAAACTAACAATGAGAACCTACATATATTAGCCCTTTTAACAATGAAATACAAGTTATCTCTAAAACACCATAAAAGTAAATATTGGTTAAAGCTTACATGCAACGCACAGTACAACTTTGCAGATTCTAATACCGTTCGGTATGGATTTACAGTAACAAATTATCAAAAAATGCAAATTCCACTTATAAAGTTGAAAAGTAACGCACTGAAAAAAATCTCGAGAAATCAGAGTTTAAACGATTTACTAAAAAAAAAACAGCTGGGGTGAAAAGTGGTTGCAACAGCTGTGCTGCACTGCGCACATAGCGCATGCGCAATGAATAGGTTCGTACGGCTTGAGGGCCCAGAGCGTATCGGCAAATGAACCAGCCAATGAAAGCGTTCATTACACTTAAGTGTACGCCCACCTGCTCTGACTGTATTTGGTATCCCGGGTGCCTCATTTTGAGGGTAGTAAACCCAAGTACAAAATATTGCTCTTTTGATTTGCGATTGTATGCTTATAATTTTGTTTATTTATTTTTTTCATAATCAGCAATGCATATCATATGTCATGAATAAATGATAATTGTGTTTTAATTATGTTTATTTTGTTGGTTGCATCTAAGCTTTAACTTTAAGCATACAGCTTAACATTAGCTAAGGACTAAAATAATCACCTTGTCTAGTCAAATGTGTGATGTAGAGAAAATGTGAGTGGTATATACTCACAATGAATACTTATCATCCCAGGTTGGAAAGTTTTGCTGCAGATTTGAGGCTAATATTGGCATCTGGGAATGTTTAGATATATCCCTGCTCCATTTTAGACATAGACTGGATTACAGTTGGTTGCTTGGACTCGGATACTCAACAGTTCAAATTGCACATTGAACATATGATCTTTGTTTGTTGTTTAATGCTGCACTCCACTATTCCAGCTATATGACTAGAGTCTATAAATAATCTAGACCAGACAATCGAGTGATTGACGTCACAAGCATCTCTCTGGGATCCAATGACATTTATCAGTAAAGTCAGCGATGGTGACATATTTGTCTCTTTTAAGTATATTATTTCAGTGTCCATTTTTTTATATCTATCACATAAAACCCTGTAGTGCTCTGTGGGCAGTGTGGATCCAGACATTTTGTTTCATGCATGTTACCATGGTTACACTAATGTTTATTTTCCTCCTGCAGGATTTGGGGAAGATGGCAGCAGTCCCATCAGCATGAACGGAGATCTGGAAGATGACCAACAACTCTGGATACACGCTCCAGAGGACTCCTCCAAGTAAGCAGCAACACATTTGTACTCTTGCAGCACATTCTGTTTATTTCCTGTGTGGAATTTCCTTATCTGAAAGTAGGGGTGGTGGGTAGATGTAGTGGTTCAAGTTTTCGCTCGTCAAGCCGAAGACCCAAGTTTGATTCCCCAAATGGGTACAATGTGTGAAGTCCTTTTTTGGTATCCCTCATCGTGAAATTGCTGGAATATTGATAAAAGTGACGTATAAAACAATACTCTCATATCTGAAGGTTTAGGAAAAGATTCAACAGAAAGCGCTTTGCAGGGCTAACTGGTGGCTGTTCTATTGATGTGTCTGTCCCCTCGTTAAAGGCGAACATTACCAGAAAAACAAATGATAACAGTTTGATGACGGTTTACGTTCGGATTAAATATCTTCTCTGAATTATTTTAATTACATCTGTCATTAACGTAAACCATATGTGGCAATATGAACGACGCATTTCTACTACCAACGTAAGTTTAGATCAGTACATCCAGATAAAGCTGAATAGTCAAGCGTCATTCCACGATTGCATTCTGGGAATGTAAACATTGCGAAGGTTACCGTGTCTGAAAATTTGTGAGTTGAATTGACACATTTTAACTGTCGTAAAACATAAACGTAATGTTTCTACCAGTGATGTTAGCTGCGTGAAGCAACTGCAAACCAAGAAACGGGATGCAACGGAGTAGTTTACTGTAGGAGGCCATACGAGGCGATGACAACTGACATGTATCGTGACGTCGCTTACATTGTGACGTAATGTAAAATGCTTTGATTACGAGGGGCACACTAGAATGGCGCAGTGACGGGATAACGTCATTCAATTGTTACGTCATCAAAAAACTATACCTTTATTGTCTCATAATGTTGGGTTTTTTTTTTGTTCTAACCGTTAGGCAACTTAGAAGGTGATTTAAATTCTTTAAAATGTTTTCTTATGTTTGCATTTGTTGTATTTTGCAGTGTTTTGCTTTATTCTTCTCCTAAGATGTGTGTAATGGTGGATCTACATTTACACTTGCATATGTTGCACTTTAAGAATGTTTATAACTTTGTGGTCATTTTATTAGTGTTTCCGGTTGTTACACAAAGTTCTGACCACATCCCATTACGGGTCATGTCAGACCAATATCGGGCAACTTTTGACCAACCAGTAAAATAACTGACACAAGAAGTGAACACTAGGAAATCGGGAAGCAGCTTTCACAAGCTTTATGACAAGTTTCAAATATTCAACTTCTATACCCTACAACGCTTAAAAAAATCCATTCAAAAATTGGAAAAACCCTGGAAGATCTGGGTTTAGAATTGGTTTTAAGAGGACAAACGGGATAAGGTGGTGAATGATTCTGGTTGGATATATCAGCTGTATAGGATATAGCGGGAATATTATAGACATTGTCTTTTAACTACATTCAAGAGTGAAGTGGTAGCAGCCATAGTGTGGTTTGTGTTGTCCAGATTGTTTGCATGTATATTTACTGGGCCAGGGATAGTGCTGCAGTATCCATTACCATGTCTAGCACTTTAACTATGTTCAGTCACATACAGCAGGTCAGCCAAGTGGTTAAAATTTCATTTCACATTGGCAGCACCAAAGCGTGTCTCCCTCTGTGATAGTTCTTGAATATTGCTCCAAAGCTGGGACTTATCACTCACTAAAGCACTCACTCCATTTCTTGAATATTGCTAAAGGGGACTCACTCACTCACTCACTCACTCACACTAACAACGGCGTTATTTATGTTGTCAGCTTGGAGGAGAAGGATCGGAAACGTCTCAGTCACAATGTCCTGGAGAGACGTCGCAAAGACAAGATCAAGCGCTGGGTGGTGGCGATCAAAGAACTTCTGCCCAAGTTCAGTCTGGGAATGGAGAAGCTGGTATGTCACCATGTATATCGAACGGCTCAAAACATTGATACAACATGATGGTGATGTGTGAAAAAAAGAATGGAAATCAAGGGGTCCATTACACAACCATAATGTTTAACATTTAGGATGTGGATGTGGTGTAATTGAAGCAAAAATTGGATATTATTTACAGACCGGTGCCATAAAGCTGGAATATTGCTGAGTGTGACGTTAAACAACAATCATTGTGATGTAACAAACTGTATGCAGAGTTTTACATCAGTGTTCCACGAAGGGTGTTTCAAAGTAACAGGACATTGGGTCCTGTAAGCTTCAGATGTCTGTCTGACCCACTGAAAATTCACAGGACCCATAGAATAAAATTTAAACACACATTTCAGATTAAACATTTCTTATAATTGGCATTGAAATTATTAACAAACATAAGATTTATAAATAGCCAACAAGTGTCACATGTCCCATATAGCAACTTCAGTCAAAGTCATTGTAAAATATGCAGTCAGACACTGGGGCCGCAGGTTGTACACTTCTGTCGGACTGTTTGCTTGAATCTGCCAGATTTGTCAGAGGGTCAGGCGCTATTAAGTCAACACTGTTTACATGACGAAAAGTGATTCCTGCGTATTTGACGTAAACAATTTTGTTAATCGACACAAGTTTTATAGGTGGCCCTCACAATTCAGTTCAATAAATTTGATTTGATAAGCAAAAATGATAATGTTCAATGATAGCTTGACTTTTACTGAAGCTGTCAGATTGTTCCAGAGAACTCAGAGGAGACAGTAATCCTGGCTGTTTGAATTGAACAATGCTGTAGTTTTATTTGGTGGTGTGACATACACAGTCATATACTGAGAATGATAAACACAAAGAAGTATTAAATTTTCATGACTCCCAAATATTGAAAATGACTCCCAAAAGTAGATATTGTGAGTCACCATGACTCCCATTTTGAAAGTCTGTGTAAAACCCTGTGTATATATTCACAATACAGGAGTTGAATATTAATGTATGGTGTCATGAGCCTCAGATCATTATACAAAACTAGTGTGGTGTAGGGGTGAAACAGTACGCTCTTACCATGGTATGGTACATATTGGGGTACAAACGCCGGCGATTCTGTCCGTTCAGTATATGAGAACTTACTTCCAGGAAAATATCGTTCGTCTAGCAAAGCAATGCATGCGTTTTGACAAAATGATTTGATTTCTAGACATTTTTAAAAGGTTTAAAAGGGTTATTAATAAAATGATGGTACAAAAAACAGAAATACCGAATTTTTGGATTGCATGACGGTATACAGAGCCAAAGGCAAAATACCATGGTATACCATTTCACCTCTAGTTTGGTGTGTCCTGAGTAGGCTCCTATGGTCAGTCACTTAATATATTGATTAATGACTATGAAAGTATAACTCCAAGGTTACACTGTAAGCTGCTACTGTTCATGATTCTGACTATGCAAGTTCACGCCGAAGACCCGGGTTCGAATCCCCACATGGGCACAATGTGTGAAGCCCATTTCTGGTGTCCCCCGCCGTGATGTTGCTGGAATATTGCTAAAAGCGGCGTAAAACCAAACTCAGTCAGTCAGACTATGCAAGTATTCCATCTGACTTTCATATGCTTGAGTAAAGATAAAGATTCAGTGTATTCAAAATCAGGTGTTTTTTTCGTGTATCTGGATACTTTTTTGTAAGGGTTCCAGTAAGACACTCCCCATCTGCCATTTTGTTCCCAGCAGGTACCATAGTAGGGTCACAATCGTGCAGTTTGTCTATCCATATTGAATAACTTTTAGTATGCTTCGTACAGTGAGATTACAGTAGAAAAATTATCTGGAGACGTTATACAATGGAGCACCTGTGTTTCCATGGTTACAGAGTCATGGGGACATCATGGAGAAGGCATGCTCGTACATCAAGGAGTTACAAGATAAGAATGAGAAGTTGCTGCAGGACTGTGGTGGTGAAGTGCAAGGTAGGGTCAGAGCTGGTGAACAGCGACCATGATCGCTACAATTTCAAACTGACTCAGGCAAAATCAGTAAAAAACGTTTTTGCCAGAACTTTGGAGTCAGAGATATTCTGATAGGCCACTGATAGGCTTATAAGGTAACTAAATCTAATTATAAAAGCTGAATTGGGAAATCTATACAATTTGAGAATTATAAATGACAATTTGTTGATGTAGACTTTGTGTTGAACGTAAGAGATGTTTTCTGTAATGGCTGGATAAATCAGTGTGTTTCTCCTGTACCTACAGCACATGCACACCCACACACACCACCCCCACACGCACACCATCCATACCCACACACCTCACACCCCACACACACACACCACCTACATCCAACCCACACACCTCACACCCATACACCACCCACACCACACCCCTCCATCCACATCCACACCCACACACACCCATCCACACCCACACACACCCCATACCACACACCCTCACAACACACCACCCACACACCACACCTACACACCACACCATCCACACACCCACATCATCCACCACCCATCCACACCAACACACCACCCCCATAGACACCCACACACCACACACCACCCACACCCACATCCACATCTATACTCACATCCAGACCTCTCCAAACCTACATCTAACTTCAACATATTTTTATTTTGTTTGATCCATCATGAATCAATCCCAAAACCTAGCATGGTTGTCTGTTTAAGCTGAAGAGATTGAGAAGCTGAAGAAGGAGCTGACCGATGTATACGCTGAGAGAGACAGGCTACTTGAAATCATCAGAAATGCAGGTGAGATCATTGGTCATCTTGACTGTTCGGAATGACTTCATGGGCCAGGACCAATCACCCACCTATTTATTTCTCCTAAATGACCGATAGGTGTTTCATTTTCACGTTGATTCCATTGACCAATACCTGATCATCTCTTATTACCACTGAAAACAACGGGCAGAAATTCTTCCATACTAAGTTCGATGAATCTGAAATACTGACTCACTGTCATATAACGGAAATACAGAGGTGCTGTAATGTAAATTATATACTGGCAAGTCGGAATATTACTGAAATACTGACTTGTCGGGATGTAACTGCAATACTGACTTGTCGGGATGTAACTGAATACTGACACTCCTTGATAAAATAGGATGAAATAATATATGTGAATAGGATATAGATGAGTCAAAAGTAGACACCCAGTTCATTCATATTCTTTCAGTCAAGACTCGATTATTTACAGACTGCCGCCATATAGCTGGAATATTGCTGAGTGCGGCGTAAAACTCAACTCACTCCCTCCCCCTTTCAGTCATAATGTGACATATTAACTGAAGTGATATAAAAGAGTCGAGTTATCTCGACATTATTTTAATGGTGTATTATTGGGTGTATGCTGTCTCAATACAATACAAACAACTGTCATCAACTCCCAATCTAATTTTGTTCTAGGTCTGTCAGCAATGCAGGACCCATCCTACCAGTGGAAGTCCCGCAACCAGAGCAAGCCAGACAGTACAGCCACATCCATGGACTGTGAACCCAGCTGCTCATCCGTGCCAAGCGACACCTCCGTCGCTGACATCAGTTCCTCCTCCTCGTCCTCCCAGAAAGAAGACGAGTCCAAACTGGCCAAGAACAAGAGGAAGAACACAGTGAGCTTCCAGCTGGAACAGACCAAGATACAGCAGCAGCAGCTGCAGGAGGCAGCAGCAGCTCAGGCGATGGCAGGAGCGATGTTTGGACCAGGCTTCATGGGCAATGGAGGAATGCCTCTCATGAACCAGATGTTCTCAGGACTTGGGCAGCAGGTGCTTGCCAACCAGAACCTGCTGATGAACTCTGGATTTGCTAATCCTGGAGCTGTTGTGATGAATGGGAATGGACAGATGATTCTACCCATGTCTTCGGCAGGAACTGGTGCTGGTGTTGGCAGCAGTGTTCAGCCACCAGGGATGATATTTCAAGGGGACAGAAACATGGCCTCTAATGGGTTAGGGTTGTTGCAACTTGCCATGCAAGATGCTGGAATTGGGCCAGCCCAGTCGGACAATTCACGCCAACCCAGTCCTGTTGGTTCCACGTCATCGGATGTCCTCAACCAATCAAAGCCTGTGTCGGCAAGCTCGTCCGGTAGTGACACTCCAAATTCAGTGTCAGGTTCCACAGATGATATCAATTCTGCTTCAGCCTTACAGACATTGGCCTCCGTGGCCTCTAATACTCAGAGTGCTGCGGTGTGCTCAGTGATGTCAGGGATGCCTCAAGCACCTGCCTCCGTGGTCAGTCAGACCTCAGTGGGCATCACCAACACATCTGCAGTCAATTCTGTCATGTCCATCAGTCAGCAGCCCAACTATTCACAGTTGATGCAGCAAGGGAACATGGTTGTAAATATGCCCATCATGAACCCTGGTCAACCTAGTGCTCCAGGCATGTTTCAGAATGGTGCTTTAGGGGGATATGGGATGGGGAACTTTGTGATAAACCAGAACGGTCAAATGATAGTGATAAATGAACAAGGCATGCCTGTAATGCCGAGCATGCAGCCCAGCGACCAACAGCAGCCACAGCCGCCACCACAGCAATTGTTACCGCAATCACAACAGCCTGTTCCAACAAGCAAACCTGCCGAGAAGTCAAAAAGTTCTAAGAAATCAAAATCAAGCACCTCCGTATCAAACAGTGCCTCTGTAATATTACCAAGTGCTCAAGAACAAACCGATGCTGGTGCTATGAACATTTCCTTAGTGTCCAGTAAGTCGGAACCGATTGTCAATAGTGCTAATACAATAACAGTGACTGCCTCCCAAACCCAGCCATCAGTCATGCCCCCTAACCTGTCCCAGCAGCAGAACCCCATGACAATGTTTGCCCAACAGAACCCCATGTTACAACCCCAAGGAATCCAGCCCATGACACTCCAAGGCCAACCCCAGGTGTCCCTGCCCTCTGGCCAGAACGTATACCAACAACAACTGAACGGCCAACTGGCCATGAACCAACAAGTCGTCCAGAACCCAGGTCTGGCTATGCCGGTCAGCCAGAACGGGAATCTGTTAACCTTGAACACCATGCCCAGCCAGCCCAATCAGCTCCCAACTGCTCTCATCCTTCCTAACGGTCAAATAATCCCTGTAGTGACCAATGCCCAGACCGTGAATCCACAAGCTCAGTCGATGAATGGAAATGTGCAAGTTCTGTCCAATCCAGGAGCTCCTTCCTTTCAGTATCCGCCTCAGATGCAGCCGCGGCCTGCAGTGCCCAATACAGTGTTGGGGATCGATCCTAACAACCCAACAGCTGGGACTCAAATGATAATCGGGCCTAATGGACAAATTCAGCAGAATCCTCAGCAACAGCTTCAACAACAGCAACAGCTTCTGCAACAGCAACTTCAGCTCCAGCTCCAGCAACAACAACAACAGAGCCTTCAGCAACAAAACATGGGCTTGCTTCTAACCACAACTGCGTCATCTCAGGTCGCCCAGACTCCAGTCTACAATTGTGCGACTTTAAGCACAAGTGTCGTTCCCACGTCTTCAACCCAGAGTGTAATGAGCACACAAGTGCAAGCCTCGGCCACAGCGTCTAATGTTGTACAGACTGCAAACTCCTTGTCTAATCCTCAAGAAGTTGTGTCTAACACTTGCAGTGTAATGAGTGGGCAGGAGTTTGAGTCTGGAAGTAAAAGTAGCAGTGATACAGTGAAGTCCTTGACCTCCTCAGTGCCGCCCATTGCTCCTGCTGGTGTAGCTAGTACCGTCGCCACTCCGCAAGGTCTCGTTCTGAACCAGTCCCAAACTGGGCCACAAGCTCCTGTACTGCTGTCAGTACCTATGAACGGCCAGCAGATGAACGTCTTGATAGATCCTGTAACAATGCAGGTGCTTGCAACTGTGGCTCCAAACCAAAATCAGGCTGCTCCAGCAACAACAGCTCCTCCAGCCACCACAACTACTTCAACACCTCCATCTTCAACGGGGAAGAAATCGGGGAAGAAAAATCAAAGAGCTATTTTCCCCAAACCATCCAGCACCTCAAGCAAAGTTACTTCAACAGCCTTACCCACAGAAACTGTTGCTCCACCCCCCCTTGACTTCAGCCTCACCACTGCCAAGCGCACCACCTTCCCTCCCGGAAGGTTCCATGTCCCAGGCAACCATGGCAGTGACAAGTACAACCTTCTCCGAATCAAAGACTAATTTCTCCAGCACAAGCACAGAGGCATCAACAACGTCTGTGAGTGCTGCAGAGGCTGCTGCTGCTGCTGCCACGGACATCCTAGCCACGGCTGTGTGTCAATCCATCTTCTACCCCTCCCCCTCCGAGATCTCTCCTGGTCCTAGTTTTTACAATCCTGCAAATGAGGACAATCCTCTCCACATTGACACCAGTGTAGGGGATGGAGACGAGGACAGCAGTACCGTCTCCCCTGTCAAGGCAACTCATGACCCACAAAGCACCCCCAACAAGGACACAGAGATGGCCCCGCCCCAAGTTGTGGTGCCCCCCAGTGCAGAAGGTTAGTATTCTTACGTGAATTACTAAAATTTTACAGAGACTTAGAGCTTTTACGATCCGGGTTAGAATTGGTATTTAGCAACCCATGCTTGTCTGATACAGGTCTGAGACAGGGTAGAATACACAGATCAGGTGCGGGGGGTACAATACGATGAGGTCAGGATACGATACATATCCCGATAATATAGTTATGGTACAATGCATATTACTATACAGTACTTTCTTCTCATCATGTTGCGTGAAGCTCATTTCTGGTGTCCCCCGGCGTGATATTGCTGGAATATTGCTAAAAGCGGCGTAAAACCAAACTCACTCACTCACTCACTCTTCTCATCATGTTCACCGCCTCCGTGGTGTAGTTGTTAGAGCGTCCGCCCGAAGTGCGGAAGGTCGCGGGTTCGATCCCTGACCGCGTCATACCAAAAGACGTTAAAATATGGTACTTGTTGGTCCCTGCCTGGCGCTCGGCATTAATGGGTACAACAAGGACTGGTCGGCTCGGAGTCAGTATAATGTGTCTGAGTGGGGTATTCATGCTTCACTGCGGCATGGTATCTCAGTGGGCTAGCACTATAAAACCAGCTTTAGTCTGGGCTAGTACAAGCAGCCGCACATACACATACACACGCATGCACGTCGTCATATGAGCGAAATATTCTCAAGCACGACGTTAAACCCAATTCCACCACCATCTCATCATGTTCTCTCCCTTTTTAAAGACCGACTCCATGGTGTAGTGGTTAGAGCGTCCGCCTGGAGAGCGGAAGGTCGCGGGTTCGATCCCCGACCGCGTCATACCAAAAGACGTTAAAATATGGTACTTGTTGGTCCCTGCCTGGCGCTCGGCATTAATGAGTCCAATACAGTACTTTCATCTCATCGTGTTCTCTCCCTTTTTAAAGGGGAATGACGATCCTGAATCATTTGTTTTCAAACAGCAAAAATGGGATATTGTAGGGGAATCTGTATAGACTTAAAAATTGAAAAGGTTCTGTACCTTTCTTACATGCTTTTACATCATAATATCTTATTATATGAAGATGCAGGTTAAAATTGGTCTTCAGCAACCCATGCCTTTCGTAAGAGGTGACTATTGGGATCGGGGGGTCAGGCTCATCATATCCCAATGGATAAAATCAGTCAATGCTCATGCTGTTGATCACTGGATTGTCCGATCCACCTGACAGATGAACGTCGCCATATAGCATGAATATTGCTGAGTGCGGTGTTAAACAAGAAACCATCCAATCAAGTAACTGATAGGAGAGTTATTATGATGCCGCTTCCAAAACAAAACTTGGTGGCAAATGTATACATGGTCATCATAGTTGGTTTGTTTTTTAAAGCCGCACTCAGCAGTATTACAGCTATATTACATGGCGGCATTCTGTAAATAACCAAGTCAGGACCATAAAATCTAGTGATCAACAGCATGAGCATTGATCAGGGGTGGAAATAACCCTTTGCCCGACGTCCAAGTCCAGTGTTTTATTCTGTCAGGCAAGCAAATTTGTATATCACACTGTACTGGTGTCCAGTTGACTTTCCAATGTTAATTATGTTGTTTATTTAAAAAAATCAACAAGAAAACGTCTGGTATAGTGGAAAAATTATCAGGGCAAGTGATTTTACATGTGCCACTGTTCCGGAGTACACTAGCAATTTTAAAGTTATTTCCACCCCTGATTGCTCTACGTAGTTGGGATATGATGACATGTATCAACCAAGTCGCCTCTTTCGACAAGCATGGGTGGCTGAAGAACAATTCTAGCCCGGATCTTCATGGGTTTGGCGTGATAACATGGCAGTAGATTACACTCGCCGATCAAGGATGCTATTGGTAATGTTACCACTACTTCACTAACTTTCCCTTTTGTTTCAGCCACCAGAGGTGCCCCCCGTGGTGCCTCCTGCACAGCCCCCTGCACAGCCCCCTGCACAGCCCCCAGCTCAATCCCCAGTGTTGCCTCCACCAACACCCCCAGCCCCAGAACAGGTCACCTCAACTCCAACCAAAAAGGGCAAGTCAAAATCAAAATCTAAGAACAAGAGCACAACCTCAGAAACAGGCAAATCGGAATCCAAAAAGTCATCCAGCAAGAAAAAGAAGCAAGCGGCCCAACCACCACCACCTCCACCTCCACCTCCTCCCCACCACCACCTACACCACCAGTTAACACAGAACCAGAACCTAAGGTTGTGAATTTGCCAGACACTATTGAATTCAGTGTAAGCCAGATATCGGATGTGCTGGACCAGGTTGAAAGCTTTGGTGCGCCGGTAGAACCAGTGAAGAAGAAGAGCAGGAAAGGTAAATCTGATGCTGAGAGTGGTGAACCTGCCAATAAAAAACGGAAAAAGAACTCTGCTAAAGAGAAGGAGAAAGTGCCCGTCTCCCAACCTCAGAGTAACAAGGCATTGTCAGTCTTTGACTTTGATGAAGACAGTCCTCCTGAAGTGTCTCCAACTAGACGAAGTCTTGGTCCTCTCCATAATCAGAACTCTCTTCCTGTGTCTGTGCCTACCCCCTCACGTCCTGCCCCACCCCCAGCCCCACCCCCACCCCAGCCCCACCTCCAGCACCAGCACCAGCTCAAGCTCAAGCTCCTAACCCTCCCACCCCGAAGGCCCCTGTGGTGTTACCTCCCTTGACAAAGGAGGCGAACACAGCTGCTGAGAACTTTGACCTGTTGGACACTGTTTTGTCTCAAGCTCTGCCTCTACAGACAGAGCCCAGTACGTCTCAGCCAACAGAGAGTGTAAAGTCGCCATTCACGCACTCTGAAAGTAACAAAAACATGGAGATCGGTGATGCTCAAGAATCTTGTGTTCAGTCGTTTAGTGGTTCTGTTTCATCAACTCCCTCAAATCCGATGACTGATGCTGCTAACAACGTTTCCCAGACAAGCTCCAGTTCTAGACTGTCTCACACAGACAATCAGATCTTCTCCAAACCTTCGCCAATCACAGCTACAAGCTCTGATGACTCCACACAGAAGACCAGTGGTGTCTCTTCTAACCTTACTCCGAAGTCAGACTTGATGGAGAATGCTGTGTCCAGTTCAATATTGTCTCCTGCATCAGCTGGCAGTGCTCAAGGTCAGATGTCGGACATGGTCGTAGCTGCAATCTCATCTAGTGGAGTTGATGCTCTTGCTGAGTTGACAGCCACACCTTCAGCATCTCCTTCTCCAGGTGCTCTAATAATGGAGAGCTCTCCCACATACCAGCCACAAATAGATCAACAGCTGACCCCTCAACAGCCCACGCCACAGCCTCCGCCACAACAGACAACCCCTTGGCAGTCCCCTCCTCCCCTACAGCAATCACCATCTCAGTCTCTGCAGGTGCAGCGACCTCCCTCCCATCCTCCACAAATGGCTGCCCCACCTCCTCTTCAACAGCAACAGCCGAATCCGAGCTCAAGGCCAAGTTCACAGCAGCAGCCAGCACAAATCCATCCACACAACCAGCCTTCCAATCAAAGCTTGCCGAACCAGCCAAGTCAGAGAAGTAAATCGGCAAACTTACCGCCTCAGCAACAAATCAACTATCCCTCATCACAGAAATCCAGCACAATGCAGCAGTCACCATCTTCCACCAGCATGGTGTCACCACCTGCACCACCTCGTTCTAGAGGAGGTCAGGAGAGTCAGTCGCCTTTTGCAAATAAAGGTCAAGGTCAAGTCTCCTCCTTCCAGCGATCTCCATGTCATGAAGTCCCTGGCTCAGCAGACCCGCTGTTTAACTCGCCACCACAAGTGTCTTCCATGCCTAAACTCTCTCATCCTCCTTCCAGTCAAACAAGCAAGCCTATGAACACCACAGACAACTCTGCTAGCCAGAGGTCACGAAATAGCATATACTCTGCGGACAATTTTGTACAACCGAGCCGAAACAGCGGCAATGCAGAAACAAGGTCACAAACATCCTCTGCAAATGTGAACAGCAGTGGTAATGGGTTTGGACGCTTACCGACAGACTCGACAAACGAGAGTTTTAACTTTACAAGCATTGGTCTCAACTTGACATCAAGCACCGCGAGCAATAGCTTGCCGGAAGCTCTAACAAACTCCTCAAACTCAGCAACTCCATTTTCATTTAGTTTGACACCTGTGACCACCACCACTACCACCACCGCCACTACAGCCAGTAGCAGTTCGGGGCCTCTCCCCTCTCACAATCATCATCAATTCTCATTTTACCCTCTCCATCCTCAAGTTTCACAACAGACTTCACTGCCATCTGGTGGCACAACTAGTGGTTCCCAAGGGGGACAACCCAACATGTTGGCATTAGGGGTGGACCTGCGGTTGGAAGGTTCCGGGCCACCAGTTCGCCATCCACCCAACAGTAACCATCAGGGGCAAGGCTCCTTCAACTTCCACCTAATGGACATGAACTCTCGGCCTTCAAATATCCCTCCAGAACCACCAAGGATAAGCATGCCAGAGAAAAATGCTCATTTTAGTGGTAGTGCAAATGGACAGAAAAGACAGGCCAGTGTACCTCCTAGTAGAACAATCCAGGGTTCTCAGGCGCTGGATCATAATATCCCAACGTCACAGCGTTCTCCACATGTAAATAACAGTGGTTCCTATTACCCTCCCAACTTTCAGACTTGTACAGCTTCCCTTCACACACCTCCTCTTCATCATCATCCTGCTCAAAGTGGAGAGTCCTCTAGGCTTGCTCATCCTCGTGGTCCCTATGAACCCAACTTCCCCAGTGCTTCTCAGTCGATGGGTTCCATGGCTTTTGTCGCAAACCGTTACGACCCGGTTCAAGGGCCCTTCAACAGACAGTGTAACCCTCCTCAGTCCTTCGAACATTCGTCCAATCCTAACTCTGATTCTAGGAAATCAACCAATCAAAGTGGCTCGAAGGGAAGCAAACAACCTCCACAACCGACTCCTCCTCTGTCCCATCCACAGAGTCAACCTCCAAGTGTAATCTCTGCAGCTCCTCAAAGTCACACTCCATCAAATTCCCACAACTCATCTTGTTCTTCTCAACCACCTCCTCAGACAGCCCACCCAATGTCTCAGTCGGTGGCACAAGTGCGGCCCCAGAAATCACGGAAACAAAGCAAGAAGGCCTCCAAACAACAGCAGCAGCAGCAGCAACAGCAGAGTTATAACAGTGAGATGGACACAAACCTAGCTCATTCGATATTTGACAGCAATCAAGGTCTAGCAACATATTTTCAAATTCCCAATCTGCCCCCCTCTCCTTCAAGAAATATGTCCAACGAGGGACCCTCGTTCCTACCAGGGAATCTCTTCAGTGCAGGTGGTCGACCAATATCAAATTCGGGTCCGGGGATGCATAAAAATGCTGAACTTGGTCCACCGTTTAACTCCCTGTTTCCTCCAAGCAGAGCCCAGAATGGTCTGGGTTTGAACTTTCAACACACTTTTGGTATGAACCCAGGAAACCCATCTAATGGCCCTCAGTTAGGGTCTCATTCAGGGGGCATGTCCCTCACCCCTCACATGCCCAACTTCAGTCTGGGCAACCTCAACTTCTTGTCCGATGTGAACTCCGGGGGACAAAATGACTCTTTGAACATCTCCCCAATTAAGTTCCCTCACGGTAACACGATCCTCCCACCCCAGGCCGGGATGGATCACAACTCTCTCCAACACGCCCACCAGGGGTCGTCACTCTACCACCAGCGCAGCCAACCTCCACAGCCCCATGTCATCCACAACGCCATGAGCATCAACAGCATCCTTGGTCACAACCCTCATGGCTTTGATGTCAGGCCGATGGGCCAACCAATTAACAGTTCCGTCACGCCGCCCTTTCATGGGGCAGGCCATCCTGGGTCATTTTCAATGCCACCGTTAAATTTCTCAATGCATGAACATTAGTGTCACTGTCCTCCCTAGTGGTCGAGTGTACCCTATGAGCACTAGTGGAGCAGACTCTCCTTACAGAGTTACCTCCCCTGGAATGCTCTATGGCTGAGATTTGGAATCAAGCACCTGTTCTAGTGTATTTTATTGGTTGCCTGTTCTAGTATATATTATTGATTTTATATACCCAGATGTCCTATTCTAAAAATGGGATATATGTTAACATACACAGTTAAAATTCAAAAATATTTTGTTGAAAAATTATGTTTTACTTTTCTGTAAATTATTACAATTTTAGGGCAGGCCTGTTAGTTGAACCATAAGCTAATCGGAATTTAGATTGAAAATTTTATCCTTGGACTAAAATTTTGGAACAGGTGTTTCTGATTCAAACTCACACTCCATTCAGAAGTGACTCACTCCAGTAATTACCTTCTTGCTCCCTATATTGTATAAGAACAATTTAAGGAAAGTTTTATGATTTAGAATTAGGGAGGACATGTCATCGTACACTGAAACTCTCCATCTTGCCTGTCTGCTGTATCAAGTTTGTGTTCTTAGTGAGAAGAAATGGCTTTTATATGTATCATGGTATAGCTGCTTTACCTGTCACCTAGTCTCTTTGGCCCAACAAGATCATATGTTGTTCATTTTCTATATATACTCGCCTGCAAAAGAAATGCTCATTCCTCATTGTTTTGCACTCATTCAAACAAACTGCTCAGAAGCTCGGATTGATGTTAATATTATGATGTAGTAGTCCGATTTGGGCTTTTCATTACAAATCTGTATGGTCTTGGGTACCACAAGAAGATTGGTGCGTTTCTTTTGCATGTGAGCATTGTTGGTGCCTCCAGTAGTTTATGGTACATAAATAAGAAGACAGTTTTATTTTGCAAGTGTTAGCTCAAGCAGCATTTACAGCCGATGGTATGTTCTATATTTCCTCTGTTACATTTCCCCGTTCAAATGGGATCGTGTGTGTCATTTCCAGTCTTTGGCAGTGTGGTTCCACAAGTCATCCATTCTAGGATATGAATTGTCTTTTACTTCAGAACACAGTCTATTTTGCTCTAGGAAAGCTGTGCTTTGAAACACCTAAACACCTTCTCATAAGGGGAGAATGATTGTGAGTGATAACTACCAGATATTCCATCTTAGAGATTATCGGTGCTAGTTGGTTATTGGTCAGTTGAAGTCACATGAGCTCACATAACTTCATTGTTGAGATAAATGGGATATAACATCATCCATGGTTTAGGTCAAAGGTTTTTACAATGTCATCTGAACAAAAGACTTCAGTGAGTTTGTCATTTCCTGTAAGGTGGGGCGTTGGGGTAGCCTAGTGGTTAAAGCGTTGGCTCGTCACGCCGAAGACCCGGGTTCGAATCCCCACATGGGTACAATGTGTTATGCCCATTTCTGGTGTCCCCCGCCATGATATTGCTGGAATATTGCTTAAAGCGGCGTAAAACCAAACTCAGTAAGTCAGTCCTGTAAGGTTGACATTTCATCTAATATATAAAAGTTTGCATCTTAAAATGTTATTGACTGATATCTCGAAACTCATATTCACTGCTCTAAAGACATAATTCAAATGCTACAAATTATTCTTGCTATTTTAAATTGTTCATTTCTGTTTTAATTTTTATGAATATTGATTGAATATTTACAATATGTAATTCTGTCTAAGAGATTCAGTGACGTTTGATTTAGCTGAATCGTTACCAGAGTGACTCAGTTGGAAAATGACAAAATTAAATGACAGCTGCTGTCACTATCCAAGTTCGCATCACTGCAGACTCTATATTCCTACAAAAATTAAGTCTCCGTATTATTATACCCAAACTTACACACCTCAATTCCATGGAAAACTGTCTCACCTGATAGGGCAAGAACTGTGTAAATACATATATATATATTCGAATCTTTATACCTGCTTGTTGTGCTGTATGTATTGAATGCTCACTAAGGATAAAATCATTGTTTTATCTGTGTAATAGATTGTTAAAATCTATTTGCAGTATTTATTTTAGAACTCCTTAATGGGACCATAAGGGTCACTCAGTTATAATCACGCTATGGGGACTTTCTACCTTTACGAGGAACCGGATGCAGACCTTGCTTAAAGTTAAGAAACAAGGTTGTTAAATTGTTTAGTAACAGTGAGACTTCAATTCAAGCAGTGTTGATGAGAAAGACAGAAATGTGTGAAATAATTTATGAAAAGTTATATTTTTCTATTTGTATTTTAGATTTTGATATCAAGTGATATCAGTGTACATAAGATGATGATGATGATGAGTGTGCCTTTTGTACAGTGACATTGTCCGTTGACTTGCCGTAGTAGACCTGTAAATTATATTGTGTGCGATTACTGTTACGAATTTCAGAGTTCCAGATAAGTTGCATATTTGCATAAAATGTGTACCATACATGACTATAACAGGGTAAATTTTGCTTGCTTAGAGAAATATACATGCAAGATTTCTTAAACCCAATGGTACAAGACAGTAATTTCAAAATGTAGACTTTTAATTTACTTTCTCTTGTAGTTTAGACAAGTTGTTGAAAGAAGTGACACACTTGGAACACGCTATGGATGGATGCAAGTTTGAATGCAGGTTAAGCAGCATTATGAACATTTATTTTAGAACAGACTATTTGTTGGTTTAAAAATACTCATTAAACTTGACGTAAGGGAGTAAACATCTATTAAATACTAGTACGCAAAGAAAACTCAATACCCAGTGAGATGAAAGAGGGTCATGAAAGCAAATTGCTGGATCGATGTTCTTTCTTAAAGCATTCCTACTGTTATCAGCAAATCTATTGTTATGTAAGTTGCTCTAAAATGTTTGGGGTGGTGGTTTTGCCTAGTGGTTATAGTGTTTGCTTGTCACGACGGAAACCTCGGTTCAGTTCCCCACATGGGTGGGTGCACCCTGTCATGATATTGTTGGAATAGTGCTATATTGGTGTCATATTGGACTGGTATATAGTGAAGTGACACTGTCAAATTCTGTTGGCGGGTACTTATGGCAGAGGAAATATTGATCATACTGGAAATATTTTCTAACACCTTGTTTGTATATTTGTTTGAGAATATGAACTGCATAATATGTGATTTGTAAATGCAATGTTTTATGTATGTATGTATTTTTCTTACCTTAAAGCAGCACCAATTGCCTTTGTCCATTGTGTGGCCCATGTTTTGATGTTTTTATATATTTTGTCTTATTTTGATAAACAAAGGATGGGTTGGAAAAGCATCTGGAATCCCAACTTCTGGTTGATGTCAAAAATAAAGAAACCTTTTGAAATCGAAGAATGTGTTTACATGAGTGAGAAATAGTGTCTTGTTATTGTTTATGCTTTGGACTTCTACAAAATTGAATGCAGCAAAAAATGAAATGTGTTAAAAAAATGCTGACTGGATAGAGGGTGAGGGGGGATGCAATGTGAATGTGTCCAAAATGTTCATCGTAGAAAGGTAAATTCTGATTTTAGAGTTTTCAAAAAGCTGAAGCTAAAAATGTCATTTTGAAAAAGACCAGGCTAAAGTTTGTCAAATCGGTTGAGGTAAAGAGATTTTGAAAGTTAAAGCATCATATAGAGAGAGTTTAGAGAATATTGGGTGGAACTACATAATGGTTTGTTTTTGGTTGAACATTACCTCAGTGTCCATAGAGTTCATAGGACATGTAATGTAATGTGCTAAACATTTCCGTCATATTTAAATTACATGATATCTGAAAAGATCCCTTGTATCTCACAGGATCTGTGTCATTTGAGAATTGAGCCAAATTTCAGAATTGTTATAGAAACATTTTTGGTTCATAAAACACTTGCTTGTTCGAGGTTATCACAGCACTGTAGGCTGATCGTAAAGCCTTCAGGAAGTGATTTTTTGGGTAATTTGTAAATGAGCAGAGCTTTGTCGGTTTTTAGTATATGTATGTAACAAATAAAAAACAAATGGTGAGAAGTCATCTTGGAGCATGGAATCTTACTTGGTTTCATTTGAAGTTAAAATAATTGTCATGTCAGTCCTACTGGTGTAATTAACCGTAACACAAGTTCAAAACATTCACGCACAAGAAAATTTGAAAACTTTTTTCTTTTTTTTTTCGTTGAATAATTTTTTAACGTATAATTTGACATTTCAAGTGGATGGAACAACACCCTTTTCCAGCCTCATCCTTGGTGATTCCAATGAGCCGAAGACGGCCGGCCGTCTGTTCCTTTCTCTAACATGTTGCTTCTTCCGTGTCTATGATCTATTTATTTTGTCTTGTTGAGTTGTTGAGAACAATATTTTGTCAGATTCATTTTACTCGTTCTGAACAGATCGGGTCCATGTCCAGGAATAGTTTTCTTGATATTTTGTCTTCTGGAATGATATACTACTCACAGGACGTTAAGGAACACTATTGGAAGGATGTGCTTCGCAATATCCACCTGCTATAACCCATGAACTACAGTCATGCAAGAAAAATATCTGTCATTCTGTAACTTCTTTTGAGCAGTGTATGTTGAAATGAATTTACTCGTTAAGGAGTTTAAGGAAGAATTGACTCCAGTTTGTTGGGTATTTTTGTGTGTGTTTATGGAGGTGAAAATTTAAAACTGGTAAGGTCACTGAAACTGTATGTAGTTTATTTATGCAAAGTGTACACGGAAATGAATTTAATTATTTTAGGAAGTTTATGGAAGAATTGACTTCATCTTTTATATTTGAGGTTTAAATGTAAAGACTCACTGAAAATTTATAATATTCAAAAAAAGTTAAGGAACATTCCATTCTTATTACTATGTTTAATATGTTATGCCATGACAAATTAGATATAACACTGTGAAAGAATTGGGTGTTCCTTAACTAATTTTGAGCAGTATGTGTAATGTATTTATGCGACAAATGCACTGAAGACTTGAAGAAGAAAGTAACAGTATGAGTCATCCAGACTAAGATACTGACATAATAAAAGCCGTAGGAGCGTTTAAAAGTTTCAATTTCAGAATGGGCATATACTTTACAGTAGCCATCAAACTCACTTCAGGAGTAGATTTCATTGTTACAAATTAAGTCCCTGTCTCACTTTAGGCCTTGTGGGTGGTGGGGTAAACAGAGGCTTAAAATACTTGTAGTGCTGAGTATGTTTTTACATGTTCATTAGGCCAGACCAATTTTATTTCTTGTTTTACGGGTCCACCAGTCATATTTTTTCAAGAATAAGGGGAACAAAAATAAAATTAATTTTCCCCGCTCAAAAAATAAATCCATGTTTTTATTGGCCAAAAATGTAAACTTACAAAAAGAACTTTTATTTTATTGTTTTTTGCCCCATATACAGTTCATAAATTGCCAAAAATAAAACACTTTTAGTATTTAAAAGGAATATTACTTTGACTGGTGATTTTTATTTTTATTTTATTTTTTTCCTCCTTCCTTTAGGTTTTGTGAGGACAAAAATCTGTAAAACAAGAAATAAAATTGGTCTGGCCTTAAGTAAGTTAACCCTTTTTAGTATATTGTTAGATATTCATTAGGTAAGTTAACCCTTTCATTGTGTTTAAACATTCATTAGGCAAGTTAACCCTTTCAGTATGTTAGATATTCATTATGTAGGTTAATGCTTTCATTATGTTGTTAGATGTTCATTTAGAAGGTAAGGCTATCAATATATATTCATTCTGTAGATGCATATAGAATTTACCATGTATCTTGCTCAAGATTTTGTTGATATTATCATTCATGTATTTGGGTAGTGTATCAACCTGACTCACAGATCAAATACCTTGGACAAGAAACTAAGGTATACTGTAGGCACTTTCATGTTGCAGGTTCCATTGTCCAGTGTCGAGTTTAAATATTGTCAAGATGATAAATATTAAATCAGAAATTGGCCTCTGCAGACAACCTTTGGTTTATTTTTAGCTTTAATTTAAAATATGAGTCATTTTTCAGTTATTTGAAAGTTAGAGGATTGGTTGGACGCTGGTAATATCATGGTAGTGTGGGTGCGGTGGGGTAGCCTAGTGTTTAAAGCGTTCGCTCGTCATTGCAAAGAGCTGAGTTTCATTCATGAACATGGGTTCAATGAAGCCCATTTCTGGTGTCCCCCGCCATGATATTGCTGGAACATTGCTAAAAGAGGTGTAAAACAATACTCACTCACTCACTCATGGTAGTGTGTACTCTAACGTTCCCCTGTCACCCATTAACCCAGGACAACAACTGCCGCCCAGATCAACTCTACTGCGTGTACACAAGGCCATGAAGTATTGACCATGTATATGACTCTAACATATGTTATATTTGGGATTACACTTTCTTTGTAAAGTACAGATTCTAGTACTTTTGTAGGGTTGAGTCCCATGTGGGATACCCAACAAAAGTACTAGAATCTGTACTTTACTAAGAAAGTGAGTGAGTGAGTGAATTTAGTTTTACGCCGCTTTTAGCAATATTCCAGCAATATCACGGCGGGGGACACCAGAAATGGGCTCCACACATTGTACCCATGTGGGGAATCGAACCCGGGTCTTCGGCGTGATGAGCGAACGCTTTAACAACTAGTCTACCCCACCGCCCACACTAAGAAAGTGTAATCCCAAATATAACGTGTTACATTTGACCACTTTCTAAATGGCATTGTATAATCATGTACATGACTCTCGAAAGAAAGTTTTTGAAGAAATTCTGTTGTTTATATTTGTCTCCTCAGTTGCCTATAGATCAGTCATGTTCAAGTGTAAATAGTAAATAAGCTATAAACGAAATTCTTATTAAAGAAATTTCATTTTATGCTTTGCTTAAATATTCTGCCCAAAGGAAGTTAAAGACCCGCTGGTTCCTTCAGTTACTGTTGTTGATCCGACGAGGTACGACAGTTGTGATATGAAAGAATTGCGTGATCTTTAAGTTCGGTTGAGTAGTATATAGCGTTATGACATGAGATTGTGGCATTGCTGTCTGGTTTGTGTTCAGTTTTGTATCTATGTTTCGAACAATGGCACCTTGTGTAGGCACTCTTGTGATATTCACTCATGTTGTGGCCTGACGTTGACTAACGTTCAAATTTGTCCCCCAAACACTGGCGTTACATAATAATGTGGTGTGATTATTTCTGTCGAGTCTGTGGTTTTTGTATGGACTTACTACCTAATGTTTATACTTGTACAGATTAACACTGTTGACGGCAGGTCTTGTATATTTGAAGGTTTCTATAGCGTTGTTCTGCTGCTGCTGCTGATGCTGTTGCCGCCGCCACCACATGTTATTGTACAAAGTACTCCCTGTATAGTGTCTGTGTAGGTATTAACTCCTAGACTTTTCATGACATGTAAATAGATATTTAATATGTACATTTTCTGTACACAGAAGAGTAAAGAAATTGTTTAAATAACTCTGAGTTTGTCGTTTTGTGTTGGGATGACAGGTGGGAGTTGGTCCCCAGCATCCTGGACTGGCTGTAAGAAGAGATTAATTGAAGAGCGCTTGCATTTCTTTATATGTTAGCAGAATAGGTTAGGTTGTTGTACATGGAGAAGTTGGGGTTCGATTCCAGCACTATGCCAGCACCCTGTGAAACACCTCTTTCGCCAAGTCATATTTTAACGACAGACCCTGTATCTCAACAGTCCACAACCCTGAAAGACAAAAGGAAGAAGACCCAAATGCAGTCAAATGTAACCAAGTTGCAGAGGCCCAGATAAGCTGCGTATTCGGGTAAAATACGCAGAGAAAATTTCCAATTACACATTGAAAAAATAATTGTTGCGTACTAGTTACGCATTTACAATGTTAGATATGCAAAAAGTTTAAAACAAATGTGTACAGAATATATTTATAA